CAGTGACGGACTTCCTGAATCTGACGCTACAACGTGGAACTGGAAAGTTTTTGTTGATTCGAAGTCGAAACTCTTCAACGCGGACACTTGTCCACTTTCAGTATTGATGTTCAAAAACGCCACATTTTTATGACCGTTCTCTTCTCTAATAACATGATAAACTAAAGCAGCGTTTTCATTTAAGTCCTTATCAGAAGCAGTGACAGTAATAATCGGGTTTCCAGGCACATTGTTTTCTACCAGATAGAGTTCAACAGGATTGTTTAAAAATACTGGTTTGTTGTCATTAACATCCGAAACTTCAATATTCAGAGATTTAAACGTAGACAGTGGAGGCTGTCCGCCATCGGTGGCTGTTATTTCGACATTAAAATGTGAAACTGATTCCCTATCCAAGGGACTTCTTAAAACCAACGAGTACATATTATCTTGGAACGATGGTTTCAACTCAAACGGAACGTCTCCTGAAAGACTACAACTCACTTTGCCGTTTGAACCAGAGTCTTTATCCAAAATACTGATCAGGGAAACAACAGTCCCTGGTTTTGCGTTTTCCGGTATTACCTTTGATAGAGATGTCACTTCTATTACAGGTTTATTGTCATTTTCATCAAGAATTTTGATAATGACTCTGCAATCAGTACTCATCGGTGGCTGCCCCCTGTCGGTGGCGTGGACATCTAATTTGTAAACGTCAAACATCTCGAAGTCTATCTGTCCTTTTACTTTAATTTCACCAGTCTTCCTGTCCAATTCGAACATGTCGTATATTTTTGGGTCGAGCTCCTCACCGAAGAAATATTCAATTTCACCATTGACGCCCTCATCCATATCAGTTGCGTTAACAGTAATTACACTCGTTCCAATATCAACATTTTCAGGAATTGTTACTGAATAAACCTCTTGGCTAAATAATGGATGATTATCGTTTGAATCAAGAACTATGACTGAGACATTAAGAGTCCCTGACCTCGGTGGACTCCCGCCGTCCACTGCTGTCAGAACCAATTTATGTTCTGGTTGTTTTTCCCTGTCTAACGGCTTTTGTAGAACTAAAAATGGTATTTTATCCTCACCCCTCTCTCTAATTTGTACACTAAAATACTCGTTATGATTTAATTTATACACGCGCACTGAATTGGTGCCAACATCTGGATCTCGAGCAGTTGACAACTGGAAGCGTTTGCCAGGAAGACTGGACTCCGAAATTTCGATGACTTTTTCCTCCTCCTGGAAACTCGGGGCGTTATCATTCACATCAGCCACTTCTACCGTGACATAATGTATTTCCATTGGGTTCTCCGCTACTATTTTCAGGTTTATCAAACACGCTGGACCGCTTTCACAGATCTCCTCCCTGTCGATGTTTTTACGTACATACAACACGCCATTGTCCTGATTCACTTCCATCTGAGAATCTCCAGAAACGATACGAAATTGTCTTTCCTTCAGAGAGCTAATGTCCAGTCCTAGATCCTTGGCGACATTTCCAACAACAGATCCAAGCTTTACCTCCTCTGGAACTGAATATTTAATTTGAGCTGAAACACGCACGTCGCAGATCAGCACACATAAAGAGAAGGCCACCCACCACATCATTCCTCGTCTTTGTCCCATCCTTTCGTTGGACATTGTTGTTGTTGATATATCCAAATTCAAGTCCACATTACAGGAGGTCCCACAAGACAGTATTTAACTACAGAGGTAAATTTCTGTCGTACGATCCCGTGTCTTTTGTTTCGCTATGGCTGAACAACGATACGTTTGTCTTGAAGGTTGACTGCTCACTCTGTCGACGAAAACCGTCGTGTGGGCAGTAACAAAATATAAGAGAACGTCTATATGACACTGACACCTTGTGGACAGTATCTGCATTCGAAGGTGATGTATAATAAAGACGTTGATAAAAATATTAAATAAATAAACGTGTTTTTATAGTTATGAATAAACAATAATTTTTGGTAATATTTCAATAATTATATTGTGCGCTTTACCGTTTTATTTATTATGTTGTTTGAATTGTAAACATTTTGTACGACTCGCAAATGGACATTCATGCAATTGATGTTTTTAGGCAAATTAATAAAAAAATCTAAAAGAAAACAACAACCATGAAAGCAAAAAATAAATATGCTTACTGGCCAAAAGATACCATCAGCACTGGCATCGATAAATCTTTAAAATGACAACTACATCGCCCTAAATATACACTTCCGGAGCGTTAAGGTGCATCAGCACCATGGACAGCGTTTCAAAACGTCTGCGTTTCCGCACAAGTAAAAACCTAAACCTACATCTAATATCAACCGACCTAAATCTAAAACTGTCAACTGACTCAGTAACGACATTTATGTCCCCACATTAACAGACGTCGGTCCAACACCTATAGATGGATACAGTTACAAAACTACAGAAGAACAAAAGCACATCAAACAATATGGAAAATTCAACACATTTCATTCCACGTGGGTGTTGTCAGTGTTTCTAAACCCTTTAGGTCATTAAGGAACTGTGGAGCTGTCTTACCTTTTCAAATGCTCTTCTATCAGGAAGCACCAGAGTATTTGCATGACTTCCTGGGACTATAGTAGATCCAATACTCGTCCTCGGTCCAACTAACATGTACCGTTTGTCTCCAGATCTGTACTGGATGCTGTGACACAATGTTCCATCATAGTTTGGCTCTGGTAGATATTTAGAAGTATAGTCTGTGGACTTGGAGCACTGCATTGCAATCAGCACAATGATACTGATGAGAAAAAGAGCAGAAACTGAGGCCAAAGTTATCATCAGGTAAAAAGTCACATCATTGTCCTCATCTGCTTTGGTTGAACTTTTCACATCAGAAGCTGCAAAAGCTTCTTTGGGCTCCACAACTTTGACAATCACAGTAGCTGTTGCTGACAGTGAAACGTTCCCATTGTCTTTCACCAGTATGACCAGTTTATGCTCAGCCTCGTCTGTCTCTGTGAATGGACGAAGTGTTTTGATCTGTCCTGTATATCGGTCCAAATTAAACAGACTGTGGTCAGAAACTTCCTGCAGTGAAAACAGTAACCAGCCGTTATATCCTATATCAGGATCATAGGCTCTGACTTTAGTCACCAAGTGTCCTGCGTCCACATTGCGGGGAATCTCCTCCACACCTTCAGCAGAACCATTAGAGCTGAGTGGATACAGAATGACTGGAGGATTGTCGTTCTGATCCAGAATGAACACGTTCACTGTGACGTTGCTGCTCAGTGACGGACTTCCTGAATCTGACGCCACAACAACAAATTTGAACGTTTTCCCGTTTTCAAAATCAAACTTGTTGAGGGCCGATATTTTTCCCGTTTCCGAATCGATATTAAGGAACGATGTTATATCATTATGGAGCCCATCACCACGAACTAGGTGATAGCTTAACGCTGCATTTTCATTTAAATCGTTATCAAAGGCCGTCACAGAAAATATTGATGCACCGGGAGAATTGTTTTCCGGCAAATAAAGTTCATACGGATTCTGACTGAATATTGGTTTATTGTCATTCACGTCTGAGACCTGAAAACTCAACGTCTTCACAGAGGAAAGCTGGGGTTGACCAGAGTCAGTTGCTATTATTGTAATATCATAGTGAGAAACGAATTCTCTGTCTAAACTCTCTTTAGTGACCAGAGAAAACATGTTCTCCTCAAGTGATGGCATTAAATCAAACGGAACATTGCCGCTTATTTTACAAATTACTCTTCCATTAACACCGGAATCTCTGTCTGTAACACTGATGAGAGAAATGACAGTACCTGGCTTCGAGTTCTCGGGGACAATACTGGACAGTGACGTCATTTCAATTTCTGGCTTATTGTCGTTTACGTCCTTAATTTTTATTACAACTCTACTTTCGCCTTTATAGGGCGGTTGACCCCTATCGGAGGCCTGTAGGTCCAGTGTGTAAATATCCGTTTCTTCGAAATCTATGTTTCCTTTTACTCGAATTTCACCAGTGGAACCATCCAATTCAAATGTATCGTACACGTTCTTCTTCAACGTTTTCGCAAGTGTGTATTCGATTTCGCCGTTTAAACCTTCATCCAAATCAGTGGCGTTCACCTGCGTCACCAAAGTTCCTATTGGAACATTTTCATCTAACGACACACTGTAAACATCCTTGCTGAAAACAGGGCGGTTATCATTTACATCTAGTACAGTAATGGTTAAGTTCATTGTGCCAGATCTGGGGGGGCTACCTCCATCAACAGCGGTTAATACTAAACGATGTTCTGCCTTCTGCTCCCGGTCTAAGGACTTTTTCAGAACTAAAAATGGTATCTTTTCACCCTCGCGGTCTCTGACGTCTGTATCAAAAATATCATTCGTATTTAGCTTATATATTCGAACCGACTGTGTGCCAACGTCCGGGTCTCTAGCGGCATGAATCTGGAAACGAGATCCTGGTGGAGAGTGCTCTGCTATTTCCAGGCGCTGCTCGCGCTCTGGAAACGTCGGTGAATGGTCATTTACATCCGTTATTTCAACGACAACGTAATGAATTTCCAGTGGATTTTCGACTACGACTTTGAGGTTTACATGACAAGCCTTACTTCCGTCACAGAGTGCTTCACGGTCCACGTTCTTCCCAACATACAGCATCCCATTGTTCTGATTTAACTCAAACAACGCGTGATTTGGACCCGAAACGATGCGAAAACGCCTTTCTACCAGAATTCTAGTGTCAAGTCCCAGGTCCTTGGCCACGTTTCCAACAGAGTATCCTACTTGCACTTCCTCTGGAACCGAATATCTCAGATGGGCCAAAATATGTTCCTCGAAACACAGCAACAGAATAACAGCGACCCACCAGCCGTGTATTCTTTGTCCTCGTTCTCCCATCTTCAGGCAAAAACGCGATTTTCTTTAAAAAACAACCAGCAATCCAGTCTCTTTCCGAAGTAATCACATAAAATCCACCGTCAAAAAATCATCCACGAACGCTCCAAGCCTTCTTAACCATCTCTTAAACCTTACAATGTCCACGACAGAAACGTAACCACTTCCACAAAGACGACTAATTTAGGGTAGGGCTTTGGTGGAATCAGCGCTCCAGTCATTTTTTAGATCACAGTGACACCATCTGGCCACACTGCATAAGTACGATTTAAACCCAAGTGAGTCCAACACGTAAGAATGGACAAGAAAGAAAGAAAAAAAGACGAACAAAATGCAGCACCATGGACAGAGCATCCAACCGTAAACTTAAATAACGAGGAAATAACGACAGAAAAGAAAATGTTGCAGTAAAATGATGGAACTACAGATTTCAATACTGTATCAAATAAAATATAGCATTCGATATTAAAATAATATTAGTATCACCATTTCATTTCGTATACAGGCTGACAAATACAATAGTTAATAAAGCATGACCTCACCTCTTCGGAACCGTTTCTTCTATCAGGGAGGACCAGAGTATTAGCATGACTTCCTGGGACTATAGTAGATCCAATACTCATCCTGGGTCCAACTAACATGTACCGTTTGTCTCCAGATCTGTACTGGATGCTGTGACACAATGTTCCATCATAGTTTGGCTCTGGTAGATATTTAGAAGTATAGTCTGTGGACTTGGAGCACTGCATTGCAATCAGCACAATGATACTGATGAGAAAAAGAGCAGAAACTGAGGCCAAAGTTATCATCAGGTAAAAAGTCACATCATTGTCCTCATCTGCTTTGGTTGAACTTTTCACATCAGAAGCTGCAAAAGCTTCTTTGGGCTCCACAACTTTGACAATCACAGTAGCTGTTGCTGACAGTGAAACGTTCCCATTGTCTTTCACCAGTATGACCAGTTTATGCTCAGCCTCGTCTGTCTCTGTGAATGGACGAAGTGTTTTGATCTGTCCTGTATATCGGTCCAAATTAAACAGACTGTGGTCAGAAACTTCCTGCAGTGAAAACAGTAACCAGCCGTTATATCCTATATCAGGATCATAGGCTCTGACTTTAGTCACCAAGTGTCCTGCGTCCACATTGCGGGGAATCTCCTCCACACCTTCAGCAGAACCATTAGAGCTGAGTGGATACAGAATGACTGGAGGATTGTCGTTCTGATCCAGAATGAACACGTTCACTGTGACGGTCAAAACTTTTCAGTCCGAAAATAGTCCCGTTTACTTCGTTAATGTTCAAAAACGAGGTTACTGTGGAGTCTGGGTTGTTTCTGTCCAGGAAATACGTCACTGCTGCATTTTCTCCTTCATCAGCATCCTCGGCGCTCACTGAAAACATCGGCATCCCAGCCTTGTTATTTTCAGCAACATAAAAAGTATAGGGATTTTCGGTGAACACGGGACGGTTATCATTAACGTCTAACACGTTCACCGTTAGAATCTTAGTAGATGACAGAGCGGGAGATCCTAAATCTTTAGCAGTTATTGCAATTTCATAAACATGCGTTGTTTCTTTATCCAAATGGTCCTTGGTGACCAACGAGTATGACTGTCCGTCAGGAGATGCTTTTAGATGGAAAGGTAAATGTGCAGGAACTTCACACACCACCTGTCCATTAACACCTGAGTCCAAGTCTGTCACTCCCATTAATGCCACCACGGTGCCGATGGGGGCGCCTTCTGGAATGTGACTTGACAGTGATGTGATCTCTATTTCTGGTGGGTTGTCATTCACGTCTTCCACTCTAACAATCACATTGCAAAGTGTGGACAGAGACACAGCACCTTTGTCTGCAGCCAGTACTTTAATATCGTACATTTGTTTTTCCTCATAATCCAGGCCATCTCTCACTGTTAATGTACCACTGGTACTGTCCAAGTCAAAGGGATCAGAAGACAGTCCTCTGTGTTTACTCCTTAGAGAATATTCGACCTCACCGTTCAAACCTTCATCTGAGTCAGATGCATTTATCTTCAGCAGAAATGTCCCTTTAGGTGCGTTTTCCTTTATTGTTATGGTATATTTTTGTTTATCGCACACTGGTGAATTATCATTAACATCCGACACGATAACCGTGATGTTACTTGTACCGAATTTCGATGGTTTTCCTCCATCTGCAGCTGTAAGTTGTAACCAGTGTTGCGCAGTGTGCTCTCTGTCTAAGGCTCGCTGTAAAATCAAAAATGGAACTTTCCCATCCTCCCCGGATTCTTCCGTTTCCATTCGAAAATACTGGTTATGGGTTAGTTTATAGGACTGTAAGGAATTTAAACCAACATCTGAGTCATGAGCCCCTTCCAGCTGAAATCGAGATCCCACTACGGCGGACTCAAGCACCTCCAGAGTATAATTATCTTCAGGAAATCTTGGCGAATTGTCGTTTACATCGAGTATTTCAACTGTTACCTGATGCATCTCGAGTGGATTTTCTACAACCGCTTTCAGATTTATCAAACAAGGGGCAGTTTTTGCACATAATTCTTCTCTGTCCACTCGCTGGTTTACCATCAAAACGCCGTCTCTGGCATTTACCTTGAACAGATCCTGTTTAGATCCCGACACGACGCGGAGATTTCTCTCTGCCAAACGTCCAAGATCTAATCCAAGGTCTTTGGCCACGTTTCCCACGGATGTTCCTAATTTTGATTCCTCTTGTATTGAATGCCGAATTTGTCCAGATGTTCCTTCCAAATGGTTCACCACAAACAGTTCCAGACAAAAGAAAATCCACACACCCAGCCTTTGTCCTCTGATGCTTTCGATCGCCATTTTTTGGAAATGGGATTGTTCATTTCATTAACAAAACTATGTTTTTAATTTCCGCACTTAGATAACAAAAATAAAGGTACGTTAACTATCGTTGAGGGAAAAAAATCAAAATGTTTATTTCCGGTATAAATGGACGTAAAGCCTGTTCGTTCATCTGGCGTCTTTGG